TTATGGCATACGGGGATGGGGGCAGCTCGCGCTCAACTTCATCAACGTGGCGAGCCTTGCACGTGAGAGGCACAGTGGAGGTGGAGTTCAAAGAAGAATGAGAAATTTAATGGTTTCAATCTGCCCTTGTTTTTTCTTTTTGTTTTTGTTTTTCTTTTTTTTTTTGCATGTTATCACTGTGCCCGTTTTTTGCTTTTATTCTTTGTTCTGCAAAGTGCGCTCTTTTAGTTTGTAGTGATGTGACAATATATATTAAATCATGAAAAAAAATATATTCGGCCGAACACGTTCAGGAGGCGTTCAGCCGAACACCCGAACCTGTTCAGGTGTTCAGGAAAGCCCCAAATACGTTCGGTGTGCTACACAGATTTACACTTACAGGTCTATTTCACTTTTTCGAGAGACAAAATTTAAACCGGCCGGTGTGTTTTCCAAATGCCAGTCTCTGTGATCTTCTTAATACAAAAAAAAAAAAAAAGTGTTTCAGTGAAAACCTGTATTTACTTCAGTAAAAAAAGTGACTGGCATTTCAGAAAAAAAAGTTACTGAAAACCCTTCAAGCCCCTTTAAGGCTTGAGCCCCATTTCGTGAGTAGAAAAGTCCTACTCACGAAAAAAAAAAAAAAAAACTCCCGGAGTTTCAACATGCCCCGGGAGATTATCGGAGGAAAAAAAAAAAAAAGAGCTATAACCTGGGCTACCATCTGGGCTGCCTGGATCGCCTTGTTTGCCTGGGCGGCCCAGCTGTGCTGGATGAACTTGTCCTCTAAATTTCACGTCGCACTATCTACCTACCACTACTGCTACTAATAGTCATACGGGGAACGGCGTGTAGCAGCCAGAACCGTGTTCAGCAGAGAACAGGCGGGGTCTGCTCCCGCCCTACGGGTGGCAACAGCGATCATTGGTCCTGTTGGCATGGTCGCTGTTGCTGTAGGGGGGGGACCACCACCTGCAGGGCGGGAGCAACAGCGACCATGCCAACAGGACCAATGATCCCTGTTCGTCCCCTCAGGTGGTGGTCCCCCCCCCCTACGAACATCAGCTGCAGACTCTGCTCAATGCCGATAGGGGGATCCAGTGGTGGTCTATCTCTAGGAAGGGGGGGCAAGCATGCCCACGAACTTGTCCTCGTTATCATTGGTATTGGTATATTTTATTATTTTCTTAATATCATCTAGTAACTGCTGAAACACAGACCGGAGTTCACATCCCGATGGAATCAGATGAGTAAATATACATCTGAATTTACCCGTCTTCGGTCAGTTCGAAGACGATATCTCAAGGCCGCCGTCCTGTTCTAGAAAGGAGAAAAGAAAGCAAGGGTTAGTCCGATGATGATAGCCTAAGGCCATAGCCCTTTTTTTTAAATTAAAAAAG